GAGACTAACTTGAAATGTAAACTTCATTTAAACTACAACAATAAAAAAAAAAGAAATTATTTGTATTTATTTCTGATAACTCAAGCTGCATCCCAACTAGGAGAAGAGTAAATAGTGCTATTAAAAAAATTCTTGTCAAGAGAAAAAGTATTTAATTATGAACTTGGGAAACTTGGGTTCTAGTCCCAACTGCTGAAGCAAAGAATTAAAGATTGTTTTATTTCTTCCTCTTCCCTATTAGTTTCCATGTGCTGTCAAAATAATGCACAATTCCCCCCACCACCACCCTGGGTTTACAGGTCTTCATTTTCTGTAAAGAAAGGAGATTTTTCTCAGATATAGCTAAAGCATTAAGAAAAAAGGACCAGTTAAACAGGAGGTTATAAGTAATTTTACCTTGCCTATAGCTAAGAAAAATCTTCAATTTGTCATAGTCCCAGTTCTTTTATCTGTAAAAGATCTACTTTATCATCTTTGTCTTTCTCTAAAATGCTTTGAGTGAATAACTTAAGAATTTCAGAACTGGGATAGTGTATAATTCAATGGTATTTAATATATTCAAAGAGTTGTGTAACCATCACCACAATCAATTTCAGAACAGAGACACACCTTTTAAAGCCTGTAATTCATTATACAGAGAGAAAGCCAAGGTCCAAAAGGGTTAAGTCACGTTCCCCAGGTCACAGAGCTGGTCAGTGGCAGAGCCCAGCCTGGATCCTAGCAAATAATTTAGCCAACTGACATCACACAGGACTCAATTTCCCCTGCCTCTGGGAAAAATTCCACACGAATTAAAACCCACTGTTAAAATGTTGTCTGAAAGGACGGTCTGGCATTTTTCATTATTGTGTTCACTCTTATTTTTTCAAATCTTGTCCAATTTCCCCACCAAGTCTGTTGCATTGCAAGATTTCTTAGAAAAACTTCTAGAACACATTTTTTTAAGTATCTATTGGGCAATTCAACCACAAAATGTGGTTCGCAAGTTCAGAAAAAAAATCCTCGATGTCTTTCTTTTCAGATAGTCAAAAACTATTTCAGCTCATGCAAAAAAAAAAAGAAAAAAAGGCTAAACTCGACCCTCTGCTCATTTTGTTTTTAATGATCTGATTATGGGTAGTTTAAGTTTACCTAGTCACTTGCATAGTATTTCTCCACTGCGAATAGCTTCCTAAGATTTCAACCATTCACTCTGGTTAGTGGTCAGAAACCAACCTGAATCATCCAAGGGTTTGTGTCTAGCTTATCCCAGAGATGCGCTTTTAGGAAGTCTGTACCCAATAAAGCTTCTAACTAAAAGGTCGGCATTCAAATCCACCAGCCGCTCCTTGGAAACCCTATGGGGCAGTTCTACTCTGCCCTAGGGTCACTAAGAATCAGAATCGACTCAGTGGCAACAGATACCCAATAAAACAGAATTTTTCAAAAGGGGAGGCTAGTTCCCTGCCAGTCCTAAGGAAGCCAGTGCGACAAGTTCAGCCAGCGCCTACTTTGGGCACCACCCTGACTACAGTGACTCCAGGCCTCCTGACTGCCCAAGCAGAGAGCACTTTTCTCAGTTCTGGGCTCACAGTAGCAACTGTTGACTGCTTCTGTCTTTAAATCCTCCCCCTCTCAGGGTTTCATGATACTCTTCTCTCTCCTGGGTTTTTCCTTCCTGTGCTCCTCCATCCCCCCTAAAAATCATTCATTCAATAAATATTGAGTGGTCACTGCTCACCAAGTACCAAGCTAAACGCTGTCCCTAAATATGGGTGCTCCCTCAGGTCCCTGCATTTCTCACTTTCATCTGCACTTTAATTTTTAAATATTTGCGGGGTGGAAACCCCCCAAAATCTTTAGCTCTGGTCTTGGCCTTGCCCCCTGAGCCCCAGCTCAGGATATGCAGCTGTTCCCAGGTCAGTGACATCTAAATGTCCCACAGACCCCTCACAGTGCTGGGGTCCAGCAGTGAATCCACCATCTCCCCCCTCGCCCAACTGGCTCCTCCTCGAAGGCTCCCTATCAGCCTGACTAGCACCATGGTCCAGTATCCCCAGCTGGAAACTGAGCATCACCCAGTTTCCTCTGGAAGGAGTGTGGGTGAGGGGGCAGCAGTGCCTTTCAGCATGGTACTGAGGTTAGAAAAGAATCCTCTAATTTCAGCTGCTTTTCAAAAAGGGCCAACTTGTGGGAGACGCAGGATAAGACCTTATCACAAATGGGGATTCTGAATGAAATCTGTCCACCATGGTTCTAGTCAATGGGGGGGAGGGGGAGTTGGTGTTGGGCAGAGCAAACAGATCCAGATGTAACGGTGGGGGCAAGTTCTACAATGTGAACTCTGTCGTGGCTGAAAGAGCCTGCAATCTTGGAATATAAAACTGAGTGTTGTCAACACCTCCTCTCCATACACAAACACACACCCCTTCCCACCATCACCACCCCCCACACACACACTCATACATACACATCGATTTCATGCCTCCCTGCCTGTTTCCCTCTGCTCAGAACGTTCTCCTTCCTTTCCTGCCAGACCCCCAACCAGGATTCCTCCTCATATTTAATTCGCAAACGACTTGTCTCCTCCGGGAAGATTTCCCTGACGCCCCCACTGTGTTATCTGCCATCCTCTGTGAGCGGGGGTGTGTCTGGCACTGTTTGTTTACGCGTCTGCTTCCGTGTCTCCCCATAAGACTGTCAGTCTTTGAGAGCAAGAGCCTGGTGCTGAGCCCTGGGCCAACACAGGGAAGACGACGAGGAGGGAAAGGACGGCAGTGGAGCGCCCCAGCCCGGGAGTCAGGCGCAGTCTAGCGGGGTCCATTTCGAGGCGCGCGCGGGAAGCGCCGCGGGGCCCAGCCAGGCGCCAAGTACGCGGCATCCCTGGTACTGCCGGTGCCCGGGGGCCGCCTCAAGACGGCAGGACGTGCCGCAGGCGCTCCTGGCCCCAGCCAGAGGGCAGGGGAATTCGAGGAAGGACCTGCCGGGACCGCGCACCTCCCAGCGCGGGTCGGGGAGAGGCACCAAGCATAGCCTCCAGGCCTTGGGACGCGCACTATCTCTCCCGCGCCCGAGACCCTTCGGCCACCTCCGCCACACCTCTCCAATTTACAGCCGCTGGGGTAGAGCCGGGGGCGGGGGCCTGGGAAGAAGGAGGCGCCAAGGAGCCGAGAGGACGGCAGGCGTCCCCTCTACACAGCCGCGCGCCCTCTTGGGCGGGAAGAAACCGAAGCCTGGGAGAGGCCCCTCAGAAAGGCGGACCCCAAAGGCCCGGGAGCCCCGGGGGACCGCAGCCCTATTGCCCTCCCTCCCTCTGCTCTGCCTCCCTACCTGGCTGGCTTTGTGGAACTGCTTCTTCAGCCCGGTTATCGACATAGCGACTGCGCCCGGCTGGGGCTAGGTGGTCTCTGGCCTCGGCCGGGCCACGCGGTCGCGACGCACTGGGGGGCAGGCGCCCCGGCCGTTCCCCGTGCGGCTGGGCTCCGCCGGGCCCGCCTCCCACGGCCACGGCCACGGCCACGGCCACGGCCACAGCCACAGCCGCTGTCACACTAGCACACACGCGCGCACGCAGATGGCAACACTGCGTTCCAAAGCCCCTGCGCAGCCCATTGGCCACGCCACGGCAGTATGCAAATGAAGCTTCTGGGGCCGCCCACGCTTCATTGTTGCGTGGAGACCGGGAAGACTTGGGCAGCCGGGAAGATGGGCCCGGGAAGCTAGGCGTGGGGATGTCTCGGGGGCCCAGGGAGCAGGGTTACACAAGGTTTCTTGATGGGCACAGGTCGGGAGGCATCTGACTTGGCGACTATCATGTGCAGGGAAGAGGGATCACCTCTCTGTGCTTCTGGAACTTGGTGTGGAAACCTTTTGCTGACGGGCAACATCGCCTCCCTCCGGCGCATTTCGGTGGGTTTAGTTTTGAGAAAGGGACGCTCTGAAATATGCATAGGGAGAGAGAAATGCAACAGGAGAGGGGACCTGCGGATGGAAAAGCGGTCTGGGAGGCAGGGCTGTTTCACTCTGTGCTCTGGGTACAAGCAGCCCAAATGATTTTGGTCCTCTGGGAGCCCGAGACTGACTGGGTAATTTACTAAGAAAAAAATACAGTGCTCGCCTCCCAGGAACGCTGAGCACACTGTCAACTGCATTAAGAGCAATTATCTCCAAGGTGCCGGGAACACAGCACTCAGTACCCCAGGGAATTCACCAAGACCAGGACCTGGGCCCCTTGGTAACCCCCACCAGGTGTGTCATTTACAGCGCGTCATTTTGCCCAAAGTACAGAGGTCAAAGCGCCTGCAGCCCAGGCACAGCTAGAGGCCATGGACCTTTGTGTCAGAGCTGCCCCCAAGAGGTCAGCGTCTGCCTGAATATCTGGTCTCCAAATGTCCTGAGGGCTCCCAAGAAGTAGAACCCACTCTTGGCAACGCTTAACAAGGAAAGCAACAAACATCTTCCTCCTTCACTCTCCACCTAAAAGAAAAAAGATCCTCTGCTTGGGCACTCATCAGGTCCCATCTGGGGTGACCAAGAGCCCTGTTTGCCTGGGACCATTCTGGTTTACACCTGTGCCCTGGCATCCACTCCGGCATGGCATTTCTCCAGGACAAAGGTCACGCAGCCTCTCCCCGAGCTGTTAGCTCCCAACTCTCAGCTGTGTCTGAATCCTTAGCACTGACTTCATCCCAGCAAGGACTGGGCTGGAAACTACACCTCCCTGTGCCTCAGTTTTCTCACCGGCGCTGGAAGGTGTGGAAAGGTCAACAGTGTTCTTCCTCTGATATGGGGGGAAAACTACATGAACTTAGTGGAGGGGATAAGGGCAGCCAATCAGAGGGTTAATTAGATGACTTAGGGGAGTGCTCTGGCTTTGATTGGCCAGGTACTGCTGGCATCAGCCACAGGTGGTTAACTAGAAGGTGTCAGGGTGATGACAGCTGGAACTGAATAGTGTAACCAGAGGGCTTGTCCACATAACAGTCTGAACCCCACTCAACAACAGGCTCCACCACAGTGTAAGTGCTGCTCTAAGGCAGAAAGCCAGCTGAGGGCCAGGAATGGTGGGTCTCCCTCCGCCTGGGCTACTCCAGGGCTGCATGGTGGAATGTGCTCATCTGTCGTCTTTTTCCACGTCCAAAAGTGGTTTAAATAGTATAAGTTTCAAAGAACTTCCCCTTTGTCTTAGTTATCTAGTGCTGCTATGATGGAAATACCGCAAGTGGGTGGCTTTAACAAACAGAAACTTATTCTCTCACAGTTTAGGAGGCTATAAGTCTGAATTCAGGCCACCAGTTCTAGGGGAGGGCTTTCTTTCTCTGTCAGCTCTGGAGGAAGGTCCTTGTCTCCTTTCAACATCTGTGGGCCTGGCATTCCTTAGAATTCTCCACAAATCTTGGCATCAATCTTCCCCTGGGTCTAGGAGGTTCTCAGTGCAGGGATCCCAGATCTAAAGCACACCCTCTTCTCCTGACTCTTCTTTCTTTATATTAGGAGGTCCTTCCTTCTCTGTTCATTCTCTTTTTAATCTCTTGTAAAATGAAAAGTAATGCAGGCCACACCTTAGGGATACTCCCCTTACATCAGATCAGGGCTGTGACCTGAGTAAGGGTGTTATATCTCACCCCAGTCCTCATTAACATGACCTAATCCTGCCTCATTAACATAACAGACAGCTCACTCCCAAATGGGACCATAATCACAGGCATAGAGGCTAGAATTTACAACACATCACAAAATGGAGGATAGTCAGATCACAATATGAGGACAACCACACAATACTGGGAATCATGGCCTAGCCAAGTTGACACATATTTTGGGGGGACACAATTCAATCCATGACACATTTGGGAAAGGGGTGATTTTTTGAAAAACTTTTTTTTTTTTGCATATCTTCCATGGTTGGTAGTATATTCATGTTTCCTACTTCAGGTAACTTTGGTAATCTATCTTCTTTAATCAAGAGTAGGTTGTAGATTATATTCTCATAATTTTTTAAATTCAGAATATTTTGTATGCACTTTTTTCCTTTGTAGAAGTATTTGTGACTTTTCTTATTTTCAGTAATTAGGCTTATTGGAGGTGTGTCCATTTTGTTGGTCTTTTAAAACAATTCTTAAATATACTCATCATTGCTATTGATGTTTTCTCTCCTGAATTTGTTTCTGCCTTTATTCTTATACATTCCTTCCTTCTGTTTTGTTCAGAGGACCAGTTAGCATTTGAGATTATTAACAGCAGAAACTGATCCTGGTTAATGTAAGCTGGGAAAGATGGTACTGGAAGGACATCAGGCAGCCCAGATATTCACAGGAGTCATATAGGGAACTATGTGGGGGAAATGCACAGGAACCAGGAACCTGAGTGGTCAGATCCACTGTCAGATCCACTGCATATCCAGGAGCAGTTTCGTTGGGATGTGCTGGTTGAACACTGCATGTGACTACCAGAAAAAAGGCTGAGCTGTTCCCTGCTTCTTTCAGGCACTCACTCCAGATTCAAAGTTTCAGGGGCATCGTTTGATTGGCCAAGTTTAGGTGATGTGCTCAGACCTTATGTCTAAGATTCACGCCGTGGTGGATTTCTTTAATACAAGAAGAAGGTTCAGATGCCAGGCAGCCAAAAATTTTAAAAAACAAAAAAACAGCAACAACAAATGCCCACTATACTCAAGTTTATTTGAGTACTCTTTAATTGATATATGGTTTATTTATGTTTATTCTTGTTTTGTAATCAACACATGTAAAGCTATGAATTTTCCTTCTGAGTACAGCTTTGGTTTCACACGTTATTTTCATAAGTGATGTAGTCCTTATTACTATTTTCTAGATAAACTCATAATTGCATTTTTTATTTCCTCTTTGATCCAAATGTTATTCAGGACAATTTAAAAAGTTTTTTCTAGGTTACTTGATTTCTTTCCTTCATAGTATATTGAATTCCAAACTTGTAGTGCTATTTTCAAATTAAGTGCCTTGAACTTTTTCTGTGTAACCTATTATGTTAAATTTTATAAATATACCATAGAAATTTGAAATAATGTGCATTGTCAGTTTCCAGAGTGCAAAATTTTAATTTATCTGTAACGGGGTCAGGCATTCTATTGCAGCTCCTAGCTCAGGGGGTGATTTCAAATTCATGCTAGCTGGTGCCACCTTGGTCAATTCAAGGCTTTCCCTTCACATCACCATCACCTCTCCAACCACCCAAGGGCCGATAGCTTCTCTGTCCCTGTTTAGGGAACCCAAACCAAACCCACTGCCTTCGAGTCGATTCTGGCTCATAGCAACCCTATATGACAGAGTAGAATCGCCCCATAGAGTATCAAAGGAGCGGCTGGTGGATTCAAACTGCTGACCTTTTGGTTAGTAGCCAATCTCTCAACCACTGCGCCACCAGGGCTCCAGTTTAGGGAAGGGGCATACAAATGTCCTGGGCTATTTGGCAAAGAGTTGTTCACATGGGATGAAACCATTGGGGACTAGGCAGAATCTTGAGGTGTAGATAAGCATCACTGCAAATTGAAAGGGCTTTAGGCATTTGGTGGTCTTCACAGGTCAATGACAAGATGGACTCCTTGGTTGTCCCTGGTACTCCAGAGAGATGGCCCATATTCTGGCAAAGGTCTGAGTGTTGTCAATTTCCCATGTTCCTTTTCTTGTGGTCCTTGGCTCTCACCTCCCCTATCCCTTCCCTGGTACACAGTCTTACACTAGCCTACACTGATGTCTCTCTGTCTTGTGCTTGGGCCAGCTTTTGAATCTAGTGAATAGCTGCAATCCTTGTACCTGGTTCTGTAATGAGCAACTCACATCCATCTGTACAAGTGGGGAGTAGAAGAAATTTTTGTGGGCCATAGAGGGGAGGGAAGCACACTGGTTAATGTTTCAAACTATCATCTCATCATTTATCTCATAAATCAAGTCTTTTGAGTTTATCGTTCAAATACTGTGTCCCAATTTTTTTCTACTTCACCTGTCAAAGACTGAGAGGTGTTTTACAGCCTCTTGTTAAAATTGTTATTATGTCAATTGTACCTTATATTTGGGAGTTTAGTTTAAATATTTCAGTATTATGTTATCTGCCTGTAGGTGCATATGACTGTCATATCTTCTTGTGGATTAGAGCTTTTATCCATAGAAAATAACATATTTTGTTGTATTTATGGCTTTTTGTCTCCTATTTTACTTTATCACTGTCTTAGTTATCTAGTGCTGCTATAGTAGAAATACCACAAGTGGATGTCTTTAACAAACAAATTTATTTTCTCACGGTTTAGGAGGCTAGAAGTCCGAATTCAGGGTGCCGGCTCTAGGGAAAGACTTTCTCTCTCTGCTGGCTCTGATTCAATCCATAAGATTCCACCCTTTGGCCCCCCAAAATTCATGTCCTTGCCACATGTAAAACACATTCACCCCATCGCATCATCCCAAAGGTCTTAAATCAACTCCAAGTACAAAATCTCATCTTCTCAATCATTTGAATCAAATACTGGTGAGACTTCAGGCATATTCCATCCTGGAGCAAAATTCCTCTTCATCTGTGAACCTATGAAGTCTACAAGTTGTCTACTTCCGAAGTGCAATGGTGGAACAGGCACAAGACAGATATTTCCATTACAAATGGGAGAAACTGGAGGAAAATAAGGGATAACAGGCACCAAGCAAGTCCAAAACCCAGCAGAACACATCATATTATC